CTGACACATATTGTCATCATATCTATAGCGCTTTCTGAGACAGTATCACAGCAGCTTAATGGAACAAAACCTGTCGAAAAGGATGCCCTCTTATCTAACATCGCGAAGCTGAGAAAGGATCTACTGGATGCTACACCTTACTTACCTTCATTCGATCGCCGGCAGAGTGAACTAGTACGTTGAAGCCCCAGATGACGGATACCAATACCAATCACGTTTAATAGCAGATCAAAGCTATAGAAAAACAATTAGAGGAGCTCATCCAAAGTTCCTCTTCGCGAGGAGGTAGCAAGTCTGCCTCCAAATTCTCCTTCAAACGGTCAACTCCGAGTAAATCGATTGTGTATCAATCAAATATTGCTACAAATCGTTCTATTACCCCTTCTGAGCCCCAAGTAGAGGCCGCTGATATGGCTGCGTCTCCGAATGCGGACGGAAACACAACACACGGAGAAACAGCACACCCGGCGGTCGCTTCATTACGACTTCATGACCTGAGTGATCAATTCCTTACCGGTTCAGATCTATTTGCTCATTCAACCGCATCGGAGCTACTCGACAATGCTAGCACTCCAGAACAAGACAGAGCCACCGATATATCCTTGTCTTCGCTCACGAATTGTGTCGTAGATCTTACGACAAGGCCGGGAAATGCTCTATCAGCGACAACTGTTCGAGCACTCCATGTAACGGGGCTGAAGAGATGCATTATACTAACCTCATTTGTGGACGGAAGTGCATTGATACACGATTGCGAGCAATGCGTCTTCGTATTGGCATTCCGTCAGGTTAGTCATCGTACGCTAGCTATCACGAGGCTATACTAACCAAAGATACAGTTCCGGATACACATATCGTCAAGAACAGATGTCTATATGCACGTGCTGTCCACACCTATACTAGAAAAATGTTCCAATATGAGATTTGGCCCATATACACTACCGAAATCCCTGCTTCCTTCAGATGTGTCGCTTTCAGTGAGTGGTTACCGCTATAGCTGAAGGGAGGGCATTCCCTAACTTCACTACTCAGACAAGTCAACATGCCAATATTCAGGACTTCTTGTGGATTCGACAGACACCGTCGCCAAATTGGTCCCTATTGCCAGAGGATCAATGGGTTACTGAAGAGAAATGGCCCGCGTCAGGAACCCACGCCGAGCAAGTCCATACTATCCTTGATCGCTTGCTACCAAATTCG